CCGGTTAGGGTTAGCTCGGCTCAGCTCTGGTGCCCTTTTCCTGATGGGGCCCCAACAGGCGGGGGCTTGGAGAAGATGGGAGGCAGGACTCTCTCCTCTTGGCGGGATCGGTACAGGGAGGGGGCAGGAGGTTCTAGAGGGTGACTCAGGGGAGAGAGGGCCGCCCGGTGGGCGAGGGGAGAAGGGGGTGTCTCAGGGGGCCCTCTATCCCCCACCGGTGCTAGACCTCTCTGGGCCTGGCTCTGCCTCCTCCTGCCCCCTCTCCAGCTGGGCAGCTTCTAGAAGCTTCCAGAGTGCACCTGCCTCCCTCCCCTACCAGCCAGCCAGCGCAGTGGGGGAAGAGGTGGGCCAGGGGGCGGGGCCTGACTTCTTGTAGCTGTGTCCCGCCTGCGCCTGCTTTCCGGGGGCAGAGTCTCCAGCGACTGGCCACCAGGAGCCTGGGGCAGCATCCCAGCCCCAGGTACAGTAACAGTGAGGATCCAGTGCCACTTTCATGTCCTTTTTGCCCTTGGAGCCCAAGGTGGTTCATTCTTATGGAGCCACAGGCTGTGCACCCCTTGGACTGTTTTCTTGGAAGGGTGACTGCTTGGCACTGGGACCCACTCAGCCCAGGAGGCGCCCTCTCTAGTTTGAGCATCTGGCTCTGGCGCAGAGTGAGGGTCAAGGTAGGGGCATCCCTGGGCCTGCCCAGTGCTGTCACTGTTTCCCCTGGACCTGATGGGGGCGGGGCTGGGACGATGTCAAAGGGCGTGTCAGGAGGATGGCTTCAGGGCTCCACCCGGTTCCCCCACCCTAGGATGCAGCTCAGCTCTGCTGGCAGCAGCCCACTCAACCCGCTCCAACGCCTGGTCCTGGGCCCCTCAAGCTCCTCTTCACGTTGGCAGGGCCTGGATACGGTGGCACCCCTGAGGCAGTGTAGCAGAAGTCCCCTGGACCATGCAGCTGCTGCCCCCTGCGGTGTCCTGCAGCACCAGGAGCCGTTGGGGGAAGAAGGGGAGGGGAAGATAGTCTGGAGCTCTGGGAGAACCCTGGAGCCCTCAGTTGCCCTGCGCGGGGACCCCAGAGTCCTTGGGGTCTTTCAGGAGGTGGGGCTCCCTCGGAGATCTCGAGGGAGGTACTACCAGAGCCCTGGAAAGCACTAGGTGGAGACTTGGAAGCCTGGGGTTCTGTGGGGAGCCCACGGAGCCCTCGAAAGCCTTTGGGTTGGGGCACCCAGAGTACTAGGGAACATTCAGGTGCCCTTATGGGTTTCCAGAGCCCTGGGGTTTGGCCGGAGCATGGGAGTAGCGGGGTGGCAGAGAGCCCTCAAGAGCACCAGAAAGGTGCAGGAGCCCTGGGGATTGGGACCAATCCTGAAAGAGAGTCTTGAGAAGGCCCTGAGCCCTTGGGAGCTATCAGGACTCCTTGGGAGGGGAGTGTCTCAGAGCCCTGGGACAGGAGGCTCAAGAAGGGAGCCCTCAGCAATCCTCCATCTAGCAAGGTGATGAATGGACCGACTTAACCTTGGGGAATAAATGAATGAAAAGGGGGAGACTGTCACACGGGTGGCAACTGTTTCCTCCCTGTCTTCTCTTCTCTCCTGCCAGACACCACAGTGGTTGCCCAGCATACCTAGCCTCCCCCTTTTTTCTGCAATAGTTGGAGGACCTGAGGCCTAGGGAGGGCCATTCCATCCAGAAGCCATGCCATCTTTCTCCCCTTCCTTGGGATGCCCCAGCTACCTTTCCTCTTGTGCTGTCCCTTCTCTCCACCCCAGCTACTCCAGACCGTTGGCATGTCAACCTTGCCACTTCCCCAGGCCCCATGTGGGGTTCACCAGGCTCTACTTGCCTCTCTACCCAGACCCCGTGGGGCTCCAGCCCAACAGCAGTTCCAGATAGTGACTGCTTGTGGGGGAGCTATACTCGCAAGCATGGTCAGTCCCTTCTGTCAACGTATTTGATTTGGAATCAGTTGCTAAAACGAGCTCCGTCACTTGTCCCTCTGGGGTTCTGCCACCCCTCCCCCCGGCTCATTGATCTGACCATCAGATCACCCATGAAGAGGCAGCACCCCCTGCCCAGGCCCACCACCCACCAGGGAGCATCCAGGCCTCAGCCCTTGAACTGGGATAGCCAGGGGCAGAGGCTGGGGGCCTGGGGAATCCACACCACAGGTGGTTGGGCACTGAGGGACGAGCCAGGTGGGAGCTTGTGGCAAACAAGTAAAGCTGAGACTGTGGGAGTGGTGAGAAAATTAGAAGCAATTCATTTTTTTCATTCATTTCTGTATATTTTAAATGCAGAAAAAGCATGTGTTACTTTTAGGAAAACAGACCAAAGGAACGTGGGGAGAGACTCGGACGCAGCAAAAAGAAACCGCGAGGAGCCAGAGGTAGGAGCGTCCCAGTCCCAGCCCTGACCCGAGCTCACCCTGTGGCCAGAGACAGCTGAGCGCCCCTAAAGGCTCAGGAGCCCATGGTTGCGCTGCCAGGCAAGAGGCCAGGCCCACCAAGTCCTGTGGCAAGGAACCGGCCAGAGGTGAGGGTCTGATACCAGGGCCCGATGCCAGGGTCCCACCCATCAGAGAAGCCCTGGCCATGCCTCTGCTTCCCACCTGCCTGTGTGGAGCAGCTGCCTGCCCCTCGGTGCTTTCCTGCCCTCTGCTGGCAGCGTAGGGCCAGGATGCACAGCCTCACGTGGCATTCTACCCTGGGTTGCCTCAGCACCTGCTTTAAAACATATGTAAACTTTGATGATTACAAAAGACCCACAGCAAAACACCTGGAAATGAGTGCGAATATAGTCAGGTGAGGACTCGGATTACCCCCAGGTGATGGGGCATTTCAGAGTGTGGTGTGCCTTCCCCCGTGTCATTAAAACAAGCAGCTTTTGGGGCAGGCCCCGTGGCGTAGTGGTTAAGTGCTCGCACTCCGCTGCTGGCGGCCCAGGTTTGGATCCTGGGTGTGCACCGACGCACCGCTTGTCAGGCCATGTTGTGGCTGCGTTCCACATAAAGTGGAGGAAGGTGGGCACAGATGTTAGCCCAGGGCCAGTCTTCCTCAGCAAAAAGAGAAGGATTGGCATGGATGTTAACTCAGGGCTGATCTTCCTCACACACACAAAAAATAAATAAAACAAGCAGCTTCCTGGAAGAAACGGCGGCAGCCAAGCACATGCTTTGCTTCCTAACCATCTCCCACCCTTGGACACTGGGGTTGGCATCCGCTTGTCCCGGGTAAAACATCCACAGCAGGCTCTGCACAGGCAGCCTTGCCTGCAATTCAGGTGGGCTCTCCACGCTCCATGGTGCCATAGTTATTCTCATGATTACCAGAGCTTTGAGTAATGAGTCAGGGAACAGACCCCATCAAGCAAAGCACCAATGTGCTTTGACTCACGGGTAGGATGTGATTCCTAGGCCAAGGCCAAAAGGGGGAACCCACGAAGCCAGATGGTGATTCTGGAGACCAAAGCTCAGAGGCCCCGAGCCAGGGGAGCCCAACCCTCTCCCAGCAGAAAGAGCCCACACTTTTAAAAATAAATGGTCTTTTTATTGTGTGTCCACGAAAACAAAGTCAGGGTGGCCTTTGGTTAATCCCCCCAAAGAGGTGACAAGGAGGCATGCAATGACAACAACAACCACATTCTCCTCTCCAGGAGAAGGGTCTTACCCTCCCGGGCCCTAAGGATCAGAGGCAAGCGGGGCCAGGAGGCTCCGGAGGAAGGCCTGCCCAGGCCCACTATGCCATAGAGGGCCTGGGCGGGCTGCCTCCCTCTCAAAACAAGGCAGGACAAGGCAGGGGGAGCAAGCACTGCCCCGGGCCAGGCCCAGCACCCCCAAGCTAGAACACACAGAGAAGCACCCCCCCACAGCCCCCCAGCAAACACTGCTAACGCAGTCAGCCAGGACTCCCTCCCGAGAGCAGCTGGCCCCGAAGCCAGACCCTCAGGGCTCCATTCAGAAGGGGTTGCCATCGTCAGCCTGCATGGAGTAGTAAACAAAGAGCAGGAAGGCTGCAAAGACCAGGAACAGGAGCATCTGGCCCCAGAGCGGGACCTGGCGATCCTGGCCCAGAGCCCCAGGGGCCTGCTTTTCTGGCCGGATGGCACGGCGGGTGAGCCATGAAGGGTGGGGAGCTGAGGATGAGGACACAGGAGAGGTGGAGGAGGATGTGGGGTAATAGGACAGGCCCAGGGAGCTTCTGGAGATGCTGGAAACGGGGCGGTAGTGCGCGATGCTCTGGTAGGCACTGTCCCGGCCATACATGGGGCGTTCCCTGAGGCAAAGAGGGAGCAGATGGGCCAGGAGGGCCTGGGCCCAGAATCAGCCCAGCCCCTGGCCCTCCCTACCACTCACCTATCTTTACTCTCCTCTTCAGAAGAGAAAAGACTGTCATCACGCACCTATAGAAGAGAATCAGGATGAGGAGAAAGGCTGGCAGGGTCAGTGTGGCCCTGTCACATCCCTCAGTCCAAACTTCCCCTGCTGGCCTATCCCACCCATTGCTTAGAGGCCCAGGCCCTGCCACACTCCAGAACCCTTCTGAGTTCCTGGCCTTCATTCCCTGGGCCCTGGCCACTTGCTCAGTGACTGTCCTGGCTGCCTGCACCCTACTTTCTGCCCCAGGATTCTCAAAATAAGCTCAAAGCTAGATCCCAGACCAGGGTGCAGGGCATGTCCCGTATGCTCCAGTCAAACAGTTCTGACAGCCCGCCGAGGGCCCTGACCAGGCAGGTGTCTGCTGACCCCACCTCTCCCTGGAGGCTTGGGAGACACCATTTGCCCCCTTGACTTAGCCAAACCCAGCTCTGACCCCCTCAGGTTGTACACAAGTACAGACAACCCGACAGCCGGCTCACCTGGTGGTGAAAGGTGTCAGCGTCTGAGAGTGAAGCCGAGGGCTGGCGGAAGCCCTTGGACGTGCCCACAGACTCAGGCTCCCCGTAAGTCCTGGTGCTCAAGTAACTCTCCTCATAGTAGTCATCATTATAGCCTTAGGAAGGGGGCAGCAGTAGCAGAGCGGGCAGCGGTATCCCCGCCTGGCCCGATGGCCCTAATCTGAATCCCACTTTGGGGCCTGTGATATGGTTTCTCCCCTCCAGGGCTGCTGAGGGACGGCGGGGGTTGAGGTCTCAGGTTCTCCCTGATACTGGGGTCCCTGAGGGAGTGGAATGAAGGTGTCAGGGTGCCCACCCCACGCCTGCCTTACCCTTGCTCTGGTAAAGTAAGGCGTCCTCCTTCTTGGGCAGATCGTACATGTCTGAGTCCACGGAGGCTGAATCTAAGTCTGAATGAGGGGGCCACGACCATTTGCCCTCAAGGCTCCCCTCCCTTTTTCCCGTGTCCCTCCCGGCCAGCGTTCCTGCCACACCCTCGCGACTCTGTTCTCCCCGTCGCCCAAACCCTGTCCCCACGGGCCGCCAGATGGGGCTCTGGGTCGGGGGCCTCACCCGAGAACCGGTAGGAGAAAGACGATGTGGAAGAGTTTGGAGGCGACAGCCTCCGCCTTTGGGTCTCGTACTCGAAGATTTTCTTTTCGTAGAGCTTGCGCGTGGAACCTGGCCAAACACGGGGTGCGGGGCGGTGAGGGGGGCGGGCTGGGAGCCCGGGGGCAGCGCGGGGAGGGGGCCCCGGAAGGGGACGCGAGGGCGGAGCGCGGGGAGGGGGCCTGCCACCGCGTACCCACGACAGGCCCGTGTGGAATGTTGTACTGGCGCAGCACGGCAGCCAGCTCGGCGTCCGACAAGACCGCGTAATCGTCCATGGTGCGCGGCTGAAGCCTGGGGGCGACTCGGGCCTGGAGACACAGACCAAGCTACGGCTGCCTCGGGAGCGGCTGCGCCCGCGTCACGCCTGCGTCCGCGTCACGCCTGCGTCACATTCGCGCCCTGGACGCTGGCTCTGCGAGCTGCGCGCGCTGCGTGGGGCGGAGCCAGGCCGCGGGGAGCAGCCGGAACAGACCGGTCCGATCGTGGGAGCGGGAGGGGCGGGGCTGGCGAGCCCAGACGTCACAAACGGGCAGGATTGGCTAAAGGTGAAAGAGGGGCGGGGCGTGCGCGGGAGCCCAAGCGGCTCGGACCGGTCCGGCCGTGGGAGCGGGCGGGGAAGTGTGCCCGGGAGAAGGGGTGGGGCCGGCGAACCAGGAGACATCACTCGCTAGTGCTTCTGGGCGAGAAGTGAGGAGGGGCGGGGACCGCGCGCAAGGGGAATGGGCGTAGACCTGCCGGGACTTGAGAGCGGGGCGGGGTTGGCGAGGCAAGATGTCACCCGCTGGCGTGTTCCGGCGAGAAGCGAGGAGGGGCGGGGTCTGCGCGAGGCGAACCGGCAGAAACTAGCCAGGATGTGGGAGCCGGGCAGGGCCGGCGCGTTTGGGGTGCTTGCTCTCCCTGAGTCACGTGGGCTTCACTCCGTCCCTACGGCCTCCGCCCCTCCGCCATCCCCCCCGGCCCGTTCCCAGGCTCCAGTGCCTGGGGTTCCCCGGCCACGCCCCGAGAGCAGCGGGAAAGGGCCAGATCCTAAGAGCGAGTCCTTGGACAGCGCGGTCCCGGGCCAGGCGCCCCTGCGAGCGCTTTGCGCGCGTGCGCCACGCCAGGGAGGCGGCTGCCGGCGGGGCCCGGACCCTAAGCCGCCCCCCAAACCCCCTGCCGCAGGCCGGCCGGTGGCTCTGCACGGCCCTGGCCTGGGCACCTGCACCCGCGGGTCCCCAGCCCCTCCCTCCGTCCCTCCACGCTCCACCGGGAGGAAATGGGGCAGTGGCCCAGGAGGCCGGCAAGCACTCCAGGAGCAAACAGCCGTGGATGGGGCGGGACGTGCCAATAGGCACTGGCACGGGGCGCCGTGTGATGCGTGCAGAGACAGCGAGTGTCCGCCTGACCCACCATGACGTCCACCTGGGGCACTGAGGGTTTCCTCTCCTGCCGGAATGGCCCCTGAGCCCAGTGTGACCCAGGAGGCGGCCAGGCAGGGTCAGGAGGGCCTTTCCAAACCCACAGGGACCTGCTCGGGGGTTCCAACAAGCTTTCGCAGGCTCTCAGCACCTGGGTCTGGGTAGGCTTCAGGGTCGTGGTTGTCCAGAGGGGGCCCTGAGGACAGGGGGGCCAGAAGACTGAGGGGGGACCATGGAAGGCTGCCATGGCCCGCCAAGGAGGCTGGACCATCACTAGGAGTTGGTGAGGGCCTTGGTCAGTAAAGAACTGTCCCGTGGAGATTGGAAAGGAGGTGATAACCATGTTCTAAACCAAGCCAACTGATAGAGTATGGGGCCAACTGAGGTGCCCCTCCCCAGGCAGGCCCAGAACTGGGAGCACAGGGTGATGAGGAGCTGTCCCTGGTCTCAAATGACAACAGGTGATAAGGGGAGAAGAAGAGAGGATGGCTCTGCTCAGACCCAGGCTGGCTGCCTAGCTAGTGAGGGTCACAGAGCAGTTCTCCATGGAGGTTTGCTCAGCGGGTGGAGAAGAGGTAGCCACACAGGGAGTGGTGAGGAGATGGGGTCCTGGTTTGACCCCACACAAAGACCCTCAGAAGAGTTGCTGTGGGCCAGGTTTTAGAGTAAAGGCGAGGCCTGCTCTGTCTCCCGAAATAGGAGGAGGAGGTGTGTGGGTCCCCAGACACGTGCATGGCAGTAGAGGGGGGAGAACCCTGGGCACGGCAGGGGCTTGCTGCTTATCTTTCAGAGCAAGGAGGGAGATGGCGTTTGGGCCCTGGGCTGCTCAGAAGCTGCCTCCTGGAATTTTGAGTTTTGGCAAGATCAGACTCCCCAGCACCTCTCCAAGCCTTCTGCGGTGCTGGCCCCTGTCCCGGAGGCCCAGTCCTCCCCCATGCCACCCCTCCCCATGTGGATCCAAGTTGTTTCCTTATGAGGTCAAGGAATTCTAGGTTTGCTTTCTCCCCAAGGAACACCCCCTCTCCCAGCACCTGCCTCGGCACTCTGCCTTTTATGTCCCCCCCGTTGCCCCGCTATGAGGTCCCACCATGGATGGCCCCAGGAGACTGAACTGCAATGGTCCCCTGCGCCCACCCGGTTAGCACCTGGAGCCCAGGTCCAGCCCCATCGCAGTGCAGACCTGTCCCAGACCACCAGAAACCATGCGAGCCCTTGCCCATCAGTGCTGAGAGGCCTGCACCATTCCATCACACAGAGGGGGAATCAGGAGAAGGAGAAGGCTTGCCCAAGGGCCCGATTCTCCCATGGATGGCATGGGGGAGTACCTAGTCCTCGGGGCAATGACCTGGCCAGTGTGGCCAGCGCGGGTACCGTGTCATCAGAGGGCCTGTTGGGGGAATCTGTGGCCTCCAGGGGAGTCTTCCTGGGAAGGGTGGGCAGAGTTAAAAAAGAAGAGGAATTTCTCTGGAACCACAGCTGGGGTGAAAAGGGCTAGGAAGCCACAGATTCCAAGTCAAGAATAAGAAGACAGTTTCTCTTTCAAGGATGGGCAATGGCTCCTAAGCAGTACATTGTATAACTTGGAATCCCAGCAAGATTGAAAGTTATAGGGGAAAATAATATCAACATGAATACATTTGTCAGCATCCATGTCCAAGGAGCCAGTTGTTCACTGAGCTATTAATGTTTTCTTTAAGGTCAGAATCTTAATACTTTAGTACAATACAAAACTTAACTTTTCTCTTCAAGGATGTTAAAGATCCTTTGAGTTTCGCTTGGTATTTGGATGCTTTGAAACATTGCTCAGATAGTAACAAAAGTAATAAGATGATGCTTATTGTGAAAATTAATATGTGGAAGATTGTCACAATCACAATCAATATAAAATGGGGAGTGGTCAGTGGACCAAATGCGTCTCCAAGAATGCCTTGTGACCCACCCTAGAACACAGCAATTCATCTTGGTACTGCTGGCACGACCAGTTGGGGATTCGGCCTGCCTTAGCAGCAGGAATGTAGCTGATTCTAGCGGTTTTCCAAAACCTTCAACACAGGAGAAAAGGTCTTTAATTGATTAGGATCTTCACCAGGGAACGGCTGGTGCTATACAAACCTTCATTCCCCTTAAACCTGGAAGAAGTAGAAACCAAGAGCTGCGCATGTTTTGTGTGTTTTGGAGTGTGTGTGCAGTGGGAGGGAGGCAGTAGTGTAAAGAGAGGATTTAAATGGAGGTGGGGGCCCAAGATCCAGCCACATGGCCACCGCCTTGTTTGTGCCCCCCACCTATTGTACCCCTGGCTCCGACTGCAATGCCTGTGGTAGGTGGGTCTCCCTCCTCGAAGAACAGCCACCTCATGGACCTGAACTGAGGCCACTCACCTATCAAGTGACCATAACCCACTGCTCACCCCAGCAGTGGGGGGGGGTTCCCACCAGAGGGAGCAGGGAGGGACATGGAGCCCCTGGCACTGCTAGGAGATCCCACTGTGAGTCAAGGTGGAAAGGTCATTGCAAGCAGAGTTAACAAAGGCAGCAGTGGCTGCAGGGAGGCCTGGAGGGCAATCAGCGCCTTCCTGTCAGTGTTCAACTGTAGATGGCCAAATGCATTTAGCAGGTGTAACCAAACTTCTTCCTGCCTCCCTCCCTTCTTTTCTTTCTCTCTTCTAATGAAGTAGAGTAGAATAGAAAATACCAAGTGCTTTTTGGGTAGTGAGAGAAAGTCTCCTTTTCTGGATCGTTTGTCTCAGTTATTTCTGTCAATCTGTGTATGTGTGCTTGCACAGCTGGGCTCAGGATGTCAAATGTAGTTCTTATCCGGGCTTGTGGGCAAAATGTTAAAGTGACACTGCTTTATGTGGCCTTCCCCAAGGAAGTGACATTTGAGCTACATCTGAAGCTACCAGGAAATGGGCACGTAGAAGAGGAAGAGGGAGCCTGGCAGTGCCAGGGCGTGGCTGTGCCCACCCAGTTCACGAACACTTGGCTCTTTGGCTGCAACCCACTGCACGCTCCCAGACTTTGGGACTGCACCTAATTGTGCTCCTGAGAGTTCAGTACGTCTCTGCTGCCGGCTCCCAGGCCAGGCCTGGCACCCAGCAGGGACCAAATCAGCAGCAGCGGGGATACTTGCTCATCCCGGGGTTCAGGTCCCTGCCCCACTGTGGCCTTGTGGGTGGTAGGCGCTCAGTGAACACCTGCAATGGCCTGTTGTCCCCCAACCCCAGAGGGCAGAATCCAACTTGCCTGGCCAGCCCAGGTTTGGGGCAAAGTCAGAAGGCCGTGACTGTGGGCGGCTCCCTGGAGGAGGTGGCTTTTCTGGCTGGGCTGAGACGTGGGCCCTGCAGACCCCGCGAGCTCTTGAGGCGACCCCACCCCACCCCTCGTGGCCCTCGCTGGGAGGTGAGCTCATCCGGGGGGGGGGGCGGCGTCGCC